ACTCAGGCCGTGTGCCACATCATTTTTCAGGTAAAGGCAAGGCGCACTTGTACGGAGGACGGTGACATCGCGAGCAGAGACTGTGACACGTGCATAGGGTAGACTCACATTTAAATTTCTAGTCTTAAGTTAGAATAGGTTGTTTTGCATTTCATTGTTTTAAATTATTTTGTATTTGTTTTTGTTGTCTCTAAATTTCAGTATTTCATATTTAAACACGTAAGACCATGACTGTGTTTTCCAGAGAAGAAGTTGTTTTAAACGTTTTTTTGAAGTTTACGTTATCAATTATTTTCATGTAAGAGTTATATTTTCGTATTATAGATGAGCATGAGACGTTAGTAGCGACTCTGAGTATGTGGAAATTTAGGGTCATTACACGGTAAGTGTATAAACAATGTTTCGTTCTCCTATTCAATCGATCCCTCAAAGTTTTTAAAACGCGTCTACTAGGGTGAGATTTTCACACCCTTAAAAACAATGTTTCGTTCTCTTCTCCAATCGACTCCTCAAGGTTTTTAAAACGTGTCTATAGGGAGAAGTCTTCACACCCTTATAAAGAATGCTTTGTTCCCCTCTCCAATCGATTTGGGTTCTCAAAATCCATCCCTCTTCGGGGTTCAACGTCCTTTCTGGCACACTACCCGATGTTTGGCTCTAATATTATATGTAATAGTACAAGTTCACCGTTAGCAGATATTGTCTTCTTTGGGCTTTATTTTTGGACTTCCCCTCAAAGTTTTTAAAATGTGTCTCTTACTGTCTCTTAGATAGAGATTTCCACACCTTTATAAAGAATGCATCACGAAAATAAAAATTCTAGCTTAACTTCATCTCTAGTTTAAAGAAGCCCAAAAAAACAACACTTGGCAACCAGAGGTAAGGCCTCGACAGTTTACAGGAAACATGTTTTGTAACATCAAATGACAATCAAAAGGTTTATGTACAAGTCCCATTGTTGTTAGCAGATTTTAAGGTAAATCTTTGTTTGTCGCCTTTACAGGTACACATAAAAGTTATAACAAAAGAAACCTACTCTGTTGAACCTTGCTCTGTTCTTGAAGGCTATCTACGATGCCGATCGGTTCTTAACTAGAGGAACCAGTGACTGCACGACATCAGTCATCAAAGGCCGGTAGTCGGCTTCAGGCTGCACGCACATGGCTGCAATGGCTGCTACCTGAAGAACAGATACTTGTAGGGTCACAACAAAGACCAAGATTGACAAATTCATAATCCTAAGACTTAACAAACCTGAATTAAATCCTTTTTTGAGTATTTCCCTTGAATTGCTGGATCTATAATTTTCTCTACTTTTTCCCTATTAGTCAGCCTTGGGAGAGCCTAGAAGCCATGTAATACGAGATCAGACATGATTATACGACGATTATATGATTCGATAGAGCTCTCATAAGGTTAACTAACCCACGAGACAAGAACGTGCTCGCCCTGTGGCCGTTTGATATTGACCGGCACTCGACCAGTCAAAAGCTCTAGTAGCACAACGCCATAGCTATATACATCTGATTTTGTTGTAAGTTTACCTGTTGAAGCATACCTGCACATTGCCAACCGATATTCAAACGAGTGAAAGTAATGAAAAATTGGACGTATTTTGAAGACTCACTCTGGTGCTAGATATCCGGTGGTTCCGAGGACTTGTGTAGATATTTGACCATTGATCTTATCGGAACCCATCTTGGCTGAGCCGAAATCGGAGACCTTGGCTCGGAAATCTTGATCCAATAGAACATTGGTTGACTTGAAGTTTCTATGAATAACAGATGGAACGGCATGCTCGTGGAGGAACTCGAGTGCCTTGGCACAATCAAGGGCTATCGTCAATCTAGTATTCCAATCCAATGGCTGAGATTCAGTGTCCGGATTATGCAGATGATGATGAAGAGTACCGTTGTGCATAAATTCAAATATCAGAAGCCTATGGTGTTTGTCAGCGCAGTAGCCAAGCAACTCCACCAGACATGGAGACTGCAAGCGGCTTAGGAGATCCACCTGCTTTCAACAGTTGCAAAAATGGGAGGGTGAGGTAACTTTAACTTAAATTTCTCGGGTCTAGACCTTGGGGGCTCGAGCGCCCCAGGGTATAGGGGAGCATATCCCCGACTCCCGATTATAAACAAACGGTCAAATGTAACAACAAACATCCAAATCCAACCAAATAAAAGCATTCAACACAATCGGAAGAACCAATGCCCGTCTAGACCTTGGGGGCGCGAGCGCCCCAGGGTATAGGGGAGCGTATCCCTGACTCCCGGTTATAAACAAAAGGTCAAATGTAACAACAAACGTCCAAATCCAACCAAATAAAAACATTCAACACAATCAAAAGAACCAATGCCTATCTAGACCATGGGGGCCCGAGCGCCCCAGGGTATAGGGGAGCATATCCCTGACTCCCGGTTATAAACAAACGGTCAAATGTAACAACAAACGTCCAAATCCAACCAAATAAAAGCATTCAACACAATTAGAAGAACCAATGCCTGTCTAGACCTTGGAGGTCCGAACGCCCTAGGGTATAGGGGAGCATATCCCTGACTCCCGGTTATAAGCAAACTGTCAAATGTAACAACAAACGTCCAAATCCAACCAAATAAAAGCATTCAACACAATTAGAAGAACCAATGCCCGCCTAGACCTGGGGGGCCTAAGTACCCCAAGGTGTAGGAGAGCATATCCCTGACTCCTGGTTATAAATAAACGGTCAAATGTAAAAAAAAAAAACGCCAAAATCCAACCAAATAAAAGCATGCAACACAATTAGAAGAACCAATGCCCGTCTAGATCTTGAGGGCCCGAGTGTCTCAAGGTATAGGGGAGCATATCCTTGACTCCCGGTTATAAATAAATGGTTAAGTGTAACAACAAATGCCCAAATCCAAACCAAATAAAAGCATTCAACACAATTAGAAGAACCAATGCCCGTCTAGACCTTGAGAGCCTGAGTGCCTCTCAGGGTATAGGGGAGTATATTCCTAACTCCCGGTTATAAATAAATTGTCGTAACAACAAATACCCAAGTCCAACCAATTAAAAGCATTCAACACAATTAGAAGAACTAGCGCCCGTCTAGACCTTGGGCCCCGAGTGCCTCAGGGTATAGGGGAGCATATCCTGAACTCCCGGTTATAAATAAACTATCAAGCGTAACAACAAATGCCCAAATCCAAACCAAACAAAAGCATTCAACACAATCAAAAGAACCAATGCCCATCTAGACCTTGGAGGCCCAAGTGCCCCAAGGTACAGGGGAGCATATCCCCGACTCCCGGCTATAAACAAACTATCAAACGTAACCACAAACGCCCAAATCCAACCAAACAAAAGCATTCAACACAATCACAAGAACCATTACCTATTCAAATTCAGAGTTCAAATCCAAGAACAAAGCTCATATTTCAATAACAAGAAGGCTGGCATTGTAAATGGATACAAAAAACAAGTTCAGTCAAGAGAGATATAAACAAAGAAGAATCAATGATAGCAATTGACCTCCATTCTGAACGCACGTTCCCTCTGCTTCCCATCTCTATGGATCATCATAATAGCAACCACAGCTCCATCTCCAAGAACTCCTCTATAAACAATCCCAAATCTTCCATTTCCAATCACATTAGCTTCATTAAAATGATCAGTAGCCAATTCCATTTCCTTGTAAGTGAAAACCTGAACTCCCCTGATTCTATACTTAGAAATCCTCCCAGAATTGGCTCCATATAAGTACCCACGCCCCTTAAATTCTGCAAAAATCCAGACCCAATTTGGAATCAATTCAAGGAATGCAATAAAACGAATTGTGGGTGAAATTCAGTACCTGGGTTTGAATCGAAATTGATAGCTATGTGGGGGTTGAATGTGGTGGATTGTGCGGCGGCGGTGGCGGCGGCGGTGCCTCGAGCTAATTTGAGGCGGTGGAGCATGGAGATGAGGAGGAGGACGGCGAGGAGGACGGCGATGAAGATGATGGAGGCGATGATGATGAGGAAGGAATTGGAGGTGAGAAGAGCATTGTGGGTGTGGATGTGGTGGTTTGGTGGTGGCGGTGTTGAATTGTGAAGCTCCATGAGCAGAGCTACCAAAGGAAGAAGATGGTTAGTGTAAATGGAGGCTGAGCCTTCCCTTTCTTTAGGAGCTCAACCCTTTTATCTCTCTCTCTCTACTTCCCTAATAAATTATTCCAAGAGGGTATGACGTGGGCGACAATTCTCGAACATTTAGATTCTATCGTCTCAAAAGTTGATAGTTCGAAGGAATTGGATTTTGAGAAACTATGTTCGATAAATTTGAAAAGAATGTATAGATTCTAGTATATTCAGGGTAACCATTTCTTCCGCTCGAGGTGTATATGGGTTCGGTTGAAAAAATCTTTTGTAGGTTGGTTGGGTTGGTGACCCGAGCAACCCGAGTAGAGTTTACAGTCCAACCCTCTAAAGCTATATATGAGTTCGGTTGAAAAAATCTTTTGTAGGTTGGTTGGGTTAGTGACCCAAGCAACTCGAGTAGAGTTTACAGTCCAACCCTCTACAGTTATATATGGGTTCGGTTGAAAAAATCTTTTGTAAGTTGGTTGGGTTGGTGACCCAAGCAACTCGAGTAGAGTTTACAGTCCAACCCTCTAAAGTTATATATGAGTTCGGTTGAAAAAATCTTTTGTAGGTTGGTTGGGTTGGTGACCCAAGCAACTCGAGTTAAAAAAATCTTTTGAACTAACTCGAAATTTCAGATTGGTTGGGTTAGTGATCGGAGCAACTCGAGTAGAGTTCACAACCAAACCCTCTATTTTCGAGTTGGGTTGTTTTTTTTTTATAATTATTTTAAAAAATTCTACTTATCTACCGTGTATGTTAAATTAATTGTTAAAATCTCATAAAACTCAAATATCAACAATTCATCAGTTCCAACAATCACTGATAAAATTTGGGTTAGGTTGGGCTGGATTGTAACGGTAACAGTCCAAGCCCACCGTTAGCAGATATTGTCTTTCTTTGAACTTTCCTTTTCGGGCTTCCTCTCAAAATTTTTAAAATGCCTCGTGTAGGAAAAGGTTCATACGCACTTATTCTCGTCCCAATCAATGTGGGTCTTGTAGTAACCCTATTTTCAAGTGGATAAGGTTGACTCGACCAAAAAAATGTCAACTATCCTCCAAAATTTCAATTAATCAACTAATTTTTTTTAGTGAAAATTTTGAGTTTATTACGGACATATTAGGTACAAAATTAAAAGTTTAAAGACATATCCGACATTTTCTTAACTTCAAGAATTAAATAGCGGATAAAATTTGTAATTTAATAAATAAATAATTAAATATATAGAGTTAATATTAATTTATAAATGCGTAAAAAATATGCATTATTTGACTTTTGGATTAGGTAAGTGATCTATGCAAGTGTGACAGCTACATTTCCATATTCCCATCTTACATAATTCGTTTAATAATTTAATAATAATGTTTTTGACCTTTAATTATTTTTGTCCAAAATTTCAATTTTTATCTGCTGTATCCATCTTTTCTTTGGAAGTTTTTTATTTTTACTATTTATTTATTTATTTATTTATTATTATTATTATTATTTTTGTAGGATGCCCTTGCTCTTTAATTTTTTTTTTTGAAAAATGTAGATAAATACACACGATTTGGAAATGCAAATATATACAATATGAATCATGATATTTGTTCACGGTGGGTAGGGGTGCATATTCAACCCGACAACCTGGATTAACTCAACCCGAACTATAAATGTTGGGTTGGGTTCATTTTTCTAAACCCAACTGAATTGGTTTGGTTTCGGGTTTGTGGATAAAACCTTTGAGTTGACCCGAGCCAATTCTTGAGAAATGTCGATATTTAGCCATCTTTAGTTTTATGACAATGTTGAACTATGTTAATATGTTACTATTTTTACTCGTTGTTTTTTGTTGATTTTTTTATGTGAATAATTATAGATCGATTTGTGTTTGTTTGTGAACTTTTAATATATTTTATGTATCTGAATAATTATAAATTGTGGAGAAATAAAACTTAATTTTTTTTTTGAGAACTCGACAACCCAACCCGAAAATAGAGGGTTGGATTGGGTTGGGTTGTGCAAAATTTCGAGTTAGGTTGGGTTACCAATCCAACCAACCCGAACTTTTGGGTTGGGTCAAAAAAATCCCTCAACCCAATCTAACCCGGACCATGTACACCTCTAATAGTGGGACCTAAGACTTGACGTTAGACTCCCGTTCCTTTCCTATGTTTGTGATGTCACTTTCGTACATACAGTTCTATGTGCACAACGTTCGTATACACAAAATCTACTAGGCTTATACCAATTTTGTAATCCTTGGGCCTAGTCAATTACGCCACTGTTGAACATAAGTGGTATCAATCTCATACGTACCAATCCTTCCTAAATAGTTATAGCCGATGGAGGAGTTATAGTAGGAAGAGAACACGAATATATCATTTTTCATGCCTAAATGAATCATGAGGTCTCACACGTTGAAGACATTAGTTTTAATACATTATGCATTATAGTATCATTCATTGTATAAAACATCTTCATCGTTTATATAACATCATTTAAAATCATTGCTTGTATTCCTCTTTCCATAAAACGCTCAAATCATTTGCATGGTTTATTAGAATTTATGCCCTAAAACCTTGTAATTGATTATTTGATTTTTTTATACGAATTTTTATTATTTTATTTAAAATTTAATATTATTCACGGTATGAAAAATCCAAGGTTATAATGTAATCTTGAATAGTATGTAATTGACATATAAAGAGATTATGTTCAAGTAGTAAAAGGGCTATAGCATATGGATAAGATTGGGTGCCTTGTCTGGGTAACACTATTGACACGACCCTTTGTAATTGTTACAAATGATTTGATCCAAATGATTCATGTGCAAACATGTGAGTGAGGGTATCCTATATAATGAGTTTGCATCAGACTGAGCCATAGAATTTAATCTTTCTTTATAAATTTATTCATTGAGAAGATTAATATTTCACATGATGATCATATGCGACTTGATCTTAATCCCGAGTAAGTTATGAACTCTTGCGTGCGAGGGCTTGTCCTTTGATTTGCATGGGTGAGAATGACTCTTCTAGCCGATTCAATATGCCTACCATTTTGGAAACTTGACCATCTGTTTCAATATCCTATACAATTGATATGAATGTAGCTGATTTGATGACGCCATCTGGTTCCTCCGTTTGGCCATCTGTTTGAAGGTGGAAAGCAATACTAAAGTCGAGGCGAGTACCCAATGCTTTTTGAAGTTTGCGCCAAAACGCTGATGTAAAGCATAAGTCTCGATTCGACACTATCGACACTAGGACTCTATGTAGCCTTACTATCTCTTTCACAAACAGTTGAGCCCAGTTGTTAACTGTATATGTTGCTTTTTCTGGTAGGAAGTGTACCGACTTAGTCAACCTGTTGACAATTACCCAAATTATTGTATAGCCCTTCAGCGTTCTGAGTAGTCCTACTATCAAGTCTATAGCTATATTTTCCCACTTCCACTTTGGTATACTTGGGGGTTGTAACATCCCTGCCGTCTTTTGTTTGGGAGTTTTTACTTGTTGACACACTAAGAACTTGCTCACAAACTCAACCACGTCTCTCTTCATGCTTCTCCACCAGAAGTTTTGTTTTAAATCTTGGTACATTCTCCACCAGAAGTTTTGTTTTAAATCTTGGTACATCTTAGTACCTCTTGGGTGCATGGAAAATGGTGAGTTGTGTGACTCTATTAATATCTCTTTTCTTAACTCCTCTATTGTCGGGACACATAGGCATCCTGACACAACAGTCCTTCATTTGAGGATTTTGAGAATCTGTCTACTGGACTCTAGTTGGCGTAGGATTTTTTTTGTAGATTAAGGTCCTCTGGTGGGAGTTAATAATTCTATGCTTAAGCGTGGGTTGTACTATGAGTCGAGCCAAGAAATATTTTAAACTTTTATGGTCCTTGAAAATTTGGGTTTTCTCTCCTCACTGGCAGTGTCACCAAATTTTTAGTGCGAACACTACGACGACCAACTCTAGGTCGTGGGTAGAGTAGTTCTTTTCATATTCTTTTAGTTGATGGGATGCACGTTCTTTCTAAAACGCGTCACTAAAGATTACATATCCTTTTGAACTTTCGGGTATCGTGAGTGTTGGGGCAGTTACCAACCTCTGTTTTAGGTCATGGAAGCTTGCCTCACAAGCATCATTCCACGTAAATGGTACACCCACTCTCTTTGGCTTTGTAAAGGCGAGACTATCCTAGCGAAGTCCTGCATGAAGCTTTGATAGTATCCCACCAATCCTAGGATTGTAGTTGGGCATTCCCACTTCGTGACTGCTTTGACCATGGTGGGATCTACAAATATTCCATTCTTTGACACCACGTGTTCTAAGAACGAGACTTGTTGCAACCAAAATTCACACTTGAAGAACTTGAAATATAACTTGTTCTCTCTTTGAGTGGTTAGGACTTTTCGGAGGTGTTTCTGGTATTTTAGGTCTAATTTCGAGTATACTAGAATATCGTCAATGAACACGATAACAAATGTGTCCAGATAGTCCTTGAATACTCGATTCATTAATTCCATAAATACAGCTGGGGCATTGGTGAGGTCAAATGACATCACTACGAACTCGTAGTGACTGTACCTTGTCCTAAATGCTGTTTTTGGTATGTCTTTTTCTTTAATTTTGATTTGGTGGTAACCTGACCGAATGTCTTTCTTGGAGAATAACGTCGCCTCTCTAAGTTGATCGAATAGGTCTTCTATACGAGGCAGAGGGTATTTATTCTTTATGATTCTGTTATTTAACTCTTTGTAATCGATGCACAGACGCATCGATCCGTCTTTCTTTTTCACAAACAATACCGACGCATTCCAAGGGGATATGCTAGGTCGAATGAAACCTTTGTCCAGTAGGTCTTATAACTACACCTTGAGTTCTTTCAACTCCGCTTGTGCCATACGATAGAGTGTTTTGGAAATAGGCCCAGTTCCTGGCTCGATTACTATAGCGAAGTTGACCCCTTAGGAAGGGGGTATTCCTGGTAGGTCTTTCAGAAATACGTCCGGGAACTCATTTACTACTGGTATATTGTCTAAGGTGTTTTATTTTCCTCTTACATCTACGACACTTGCTAATATAGTTCAACCGCCTTGTTGGACTAGTTTCTTTGCTTTCATCATCGAGACTATCTTTGGAGTAGTCCCGATACTTGTGCCTTTAAACTTAAAACTAGATCCCCCAGTGGTGAGAATACTACTTCATTTCTGCGACAGTCTATTCTAGCATAGTTTTTAGCTAACTACTTCATGCGAAGTATTACATCGAAGTCGGGCATGTTCACTAGTATCAAGTCTACGCTTAGGGGTTGGTCTGCTACGATTACTTGGTCATTCTTTACTCTATCCTAGCTACTAGGTCTACTCTCGCAGGGGTGCTTGCCGACAATACATGCAATAAGGGTTCCAATTCAAACCCCATCTCTGATCCTTCTCGAGGTGGGCTCTCTTCAGCCTCACCTTGTCCTCTTCCTCTAATAGGGGGTCGTCCCCTTCCTCGTCTTCTTTTTTCGCGTCCTCTGGGCAATATGGTTTTAGAAACCAAGATAAGGTTGCTTAAGTCTAAGGCTCGTTACTATGCATATATACTATATATGACATATACTAAGTTTCCATCATATTGCAAAAATAATCCACCCATCATGCTACAAACAACATCATACTCTTTAATAAACACATGAAATGTTCTAACAATTTCAGTAATATCAACAATAAAATGCATGCGAGTTTGAAAACGTTTCTCTTTTTTTATCTTGTGAAAGGCGTACCTGACGGTGACGGGACATCGATGTTGGGACCATAGAACGTGCCAAGACTACATCGTAGGCTAGTCTACACAATCTATAACCTAAAGTTATGATACCAACTATAACGATTCTAAATTTCTGCTTACTCAGAGTCGTTACTAATGTCTACTACTTAGCTCATATGCGGAAAATACTCTTTAAATCGACATCATAAAATAGCATAAATTTCGAACGAATAAAAACATGTTCAACTTTAAAAACACTGCCATGGTCTTATGTGTTAGACACATAACATTGAAAACAATTGAAAACAATTGAAAACAAATACAAAATAAATGAAATACAATAAAAGTAACGTGAAATGCAAGACAACCTGTACTAACCTAAGACTAGGAATTTAAACATGCAACTACCCTATGCACATGTCAGGTTCTCTACTTGTGATGTCGCCGTTATCCGTATTTGGGCGCCTTGCCTTTACCTGGAAATGATGTGACACACGACTTGAGTATTTGAAAGAATACTCAATAAATGACCCCACTGTAGGGGCCATGCTAAATGCAATCACATGCAAATATACTCTAGGGACCTATCTCTTTCTCATCTCATACTAGGGGTGGCCTCCAGTCTCGACTATTATGAATGTGTAGTACTTCTCTACACACAACTCATAGTGGCAGTGAGTTGTGTGTAGGGAAGTACTTCCAAGCAGCTCGCACATCCCCCTGGACCCTCTCTAGTCAATCTAGCTGTTTGTAGCGACGCCCGGAGGTTAGTGGAACCCCTGGTGTCATGCTCCCCATGAACACCCTCATCACCATATTGTGTGTGTCCGCACTCATCATCATAAAGGGGATGTATCTTTACGCTTATATACACACAACATGCATGAGGTCCCTCTAATTCTCATCTTAACATCACTTCTAACACAACCCTAGTCTCATCTCTTTCGCAACACGTGCTTGTTTGATATTTATATTAATATCATTTTCATACTCTTAGGTTGTGTCCTAAGTTGATCTATCGACCTGATGCAATATGAAATTCATCATCATACGACATGCTTAATATGCAAAACATCATCATATTAGGGTAAACGTCATGTAAGACATCATAGTCATCATAAAGCCATCAAGTGCATCAAATACATCGAGTACATCATACATAATCATATAACGCACATATGTTATCATACATCATCATATAATGCACATATGTTATCATACATCATCACATCTTATACATCATCATATAACTAGCGTACGACATCGCACGAAACAACGCACACATCATAAATTTCGCATGCATTATCGTACATCATCACAGACAATCATCTCTTATAACTCATATAATTTCTAGTCTATCCTATAGTAAGAGAAGTTATTTAGTTGGCCTTAGGCCAAAGTTCTATGTAGCTCTAAATTTGGTTGCTTTCATCTTTCAAATTTGTTCTCACTTACATGGAGACTTATATTGAGCCTTCACCTATTTTGAATAAACTTAATTGACTCAATAAAAAATTAAATTTTATCCTTTCATTGTTTCCTTATTGTGTTTGGTAATAAAACTTAATTAAAAAAAAAAAGTTAATATTATTTCATGCTAATTGGATCATATACAGAAAAAGTATTTAGCCAACATGAAAAAAGTTCAACCTATTAAGACATATGTAGGTTAGTTGTTTAGTATAATTATAAAAATGTCGGTACAGATTCTAACTAAGAAAGTGAAGATCATGTACAGTTGAGAGATTGAGCTCATCAAAATACTACGATAGAACTATCGTTCATTTGATGAGAACCGATCTCATCCAATTGAAAATTTCTCCTCACTATTTCCCTCTCCATCTCCCAATCTTCGGTTTTGAGTTCTACCAATCATGAATAAATGTTCGTGTATGATTTAGTCATGTTACATGGTCTATATAAAGCATGTTATATCATGATAAAGAAATGCATTAGCATATATGATCATGGATATAGTTGTCAATATTATTATATTAGCATTGTGCTACTGTATCACCCAATAGTGAATTGAACCGTGAAACCTCATCTATATTGTATGTCGTTATAGTTATGGATTACTTTTCTAATCATGCATTGTACATAGGCGTACAATCAAAATATATTACTCGTGTTTCTTTCTTTTTTATAGGATTTGACTGCATGAGCGTCGCTCATGCCATGGTCAAGCCTAAGGAGTACAGCAACTAGCACAGTAGTAGATGGACTATGTCTAGAGAAGTACTATACATCCAAATAGAGCCTAGGACTAACCGTGAACTTGTGTCTCATTAGTGATGTTGCATTTCTAGACTCCAAGAGTGTGGTCGGTTGAAGATTTCTATTGTAAACTCTCATAACATATATGTAATAACGATTCGATCTTATCCATATGATTAAACTGGGTTAAATTTATAGTTCAATAAAGATTCCAAATCACGTGGAGCATCTAATTACTTCAATAAAAAGAGTCTTCTTTGTTCGAACTCTACGACATTAGAGATACAAAAATTTCAACAAATGCTTCACTCACCCGAGACCCACTCAATATTTTCAATAAAAGTTCCAAATCTGGTGGAATATCTAATTACTTGAAAAAAAAAAAAAAAAAGTCTCATTTGTGCAACTTTACGACATTAGAGATACAAAAATTTCAACGAATGCTTCACTCACCGCTAGACCCACTCAAGATAGTGGCTCGTTTTCCGAAGTCAATAAAAAAAAAAAAAAAAAAA